GTTGTACAGGCACCAAAAGGCATAGCCATCATTTGGCACAGGAGCTTTACAGATATAAATAACAACGGCAGCTCTAGGACAAAGTATGCAGGAGGAGAAGCATGGCAAAGTTGAGATGATTTGGATGGGAAACGAATCACATCTGATTCTGATCTGATAAAATCTTCTGAATGAGTTCTGATTTATAAACAGGTAAACAAGCATAAAGTCTGCAGAAGTAGCTAGATTATAAGAAACAAAACAACAAAATAAAACTAGAAGGTAAAATCATCAAAACAAAACAAAAACATAATAAAAGCTATTTTAAAAACAATTAATTCAGATTTCTGGCTATAAAGTGTCACATGGGACCAAAAATAATCTCAGTAATAATCCTAACTCTCGATCTGAGCTCAGAATAATAACAGCAGATTAAATGTTTGCTCTGCAATCTGAGCACTTCCTCTCAGGGATTAAGAGCCGACCTGTCTTGGAGGATCGGTTGTTTTCTTCCTGTTGAAGCACTCGGTGGCAGTCCTCCTCAGCCTTCATGTGCTGCAGCACCACAGCACAGTCCGGGTGCATGGCCTCCGTCTGAAAAACATCACAGCACCAAAACTGAAACACACCAYCCGCAACGTTCCACAATCTGCTCCTCCTCGGTGGTCTGTAAACTCAGATTACCCACAGAAAACACCAACTCCTGACAGATGTTTTAATAACTTCGGCTGATAAAAGCTGTCTGAGTTTCATTTTTGAAACCAAATGGAAACGGTTCATTATTTCAATGGCTCATTCCAGCAGAAGGCAAGTCCTGTGGGGGCCCGCATCAGTGGACCCCCCCTCCCCCCAATTTAGGTTTGAGTCTGAAAAAAAATCACTTGACTTTATTAAACTGTGTGATTATTGAGACASGAGCTGACAGAATCAGCTAAAGCTCAAAGCTCCCTGACAGGAACAAGACAAACACTCAGCTACATCCTGACCACAGCTAACGTAGGTCAGCGGGGGGCACTTCTGTGGTCTGGCTCTGGAAAAACCCTTTAAGTTTAATACTGACACAAAGAGGCTCGCAGCTAAACTTCAGCTGATTTAATAATAAAGAAACAGGCTGAAGGAGCAGGAAACACCTGTCTTTTTCAGAAGAACAAACATGAACGTCTTGTTGGACACAACTACAGACGAGTTTTTACACCTGGAGAAAGACAACGAGGATCAGCTGAGAGTGGGAGGAGCAGCAGCCGAAAAACACCGAACTAGATCCTGACATCAAACAGGATTACATCACAGGGTGACGCAGAGCTGCGGCTGAAAACAAGTGATTTCATCAAAATATGATGAAAAACCTTTGAAGGAAATGTTTGAAATGTAATAAAGAAAGTTTCAAAGCACCTTTCTGAGCAGCAACCAGTGGCGTCACTAGGCCTGTTTTAAAGGTTTTAAAGCCCCCCTGAACTATTTTGGTGTAAAAAAATTTCATTTTTTTTTACAAAAATTCAATATGATGTGGTCAGAATAAATAACCATTTAATATGTCATAAATATGTTTATATAAAACACACAATGCAAATATATAATATACAAAAATGCTGTGTGTCTCCCGGGGGCTAAGCCCCCCTTGTCCTTAAAACCTAGTGACACCCCTGGCAGCAGCYACAATAAATGGTTTTCAGGAGAAAAGCCTTAAATTTTAGCCACTGTTTCTGCACTTTAAAGAAGCTACTTCTAATAACAGCTGAGAAATCTTAACATCCTGCTGAAGTTAGAGGTTACCTCTTTCAAACGATGTCAGGAAATCCTCATCAGAAAACAACYAAAACTCAAATAAATGCAGTGAGATGCTTAATGCTGAAAGATTTGTGCTGAGTAGCTAAAAGAAAAAGGCTGGAACTAGCCTAAAACTAGTACTAKAAAGTAGCTGAAATTAGTCCAAAGGAGTAGAAAGAGCACATGTTGTTGAATGAAACAGTAAGAAGCTGAAAAAGGCACAAAAATCAAAAAAACTAAAACGCTCAAATTAGCTAAAAAACAGAAAATAGTTGAAATGAGTAAAAAGCTGAAAAACATCTAAAAGAAGCACAAAAAGGTAAATTTTGTTGGAAAAGTTCAAATTACCTAAAAAGTAGCTAAAAACACAGCAAACAGCTGAAATTAGTAAAAAAAAAAACAGCTGAAGGAAAAATAAAAAGCTTAAAATGGCAAAAAAAATTAAGAGGCAGAAAAAGTTCAGAATAACTGAAAAAACTGGAATTAACTAAAAAGTAGATAAAACACAAAACCAGCTGAAATTAGCAAAAAACAGCTGAAAAAAGGATTCAAGGCTGAAAAATCTGAAAAAAGCACAGAAAGAAATTTTGTTGCAAAAGCTCAAATTAGCTAAAAGGTAGCTAAAGACACAGCAAACTGCTGAAATTAGTAAAAAGTAGCTGAAAGAAGCATAAAAAACTGAAAATATCAAAAGCAAATGAAAAGAAGCAAAAAAAGTTCAGAATAACTGAAAAAACTCAAATCAGCTAAAAGGCAACTGAAAACACAGAAAATAGCTGAAAATAGCAAAAAGCAGCTGAAAGAAGCATAAAAAACTGAAAATGATATAAAAGAAGCACAGAAAGATAATGTTTCTTGGAAAATCTCAAATTAGCTAAAAGGTAGCTAAAGACACAGCAAACTGCTGAAATTAGTAAAAAGTAGCTGAAAGAAGCATAAAAAACTGAAAAGAGGAGAAAAAAGTTGAAATATGCAAAAAAGTTCAAATTAGCAGAAGATTAGCAGAAAAGATCAGACTGATAAATAAAAGCTAAAATGAGCCAAATAGAAGCCGAAATGAGCACAAAGGAGTTTTACAAAGCTCCATTCATTTTCAATGAGAAAGAAAATATCAGATAAAGCTAAATATCTCAGAACATATATCTTTCTGAAGCACCAAGTTGTAGCTGTAATGTGCTGAAACAGCTGAACATTTTATGTACGAATCGTAGAAACAGCACAATTACAGAACGAAAAAAAAAAGTACTGAATCTTATTATGATGCTTCTGCAGAGCTTCAAGAGACGGATGAAGTTAGAGTCTGAAATCAAGATGATCCAAACAATCACAGCTTCAAAATGATGAGTCAGGTTTCAGCTGAGTCCGCTCACTGTGGCCACGCCTGAAGAGGAGAGGAGCCGAAAGAAAACGCCTGGAGAGGAGCCGAAAGAAAACGCCTGAAGAGGAGAGGAGCTGAAAGAAAACCATAAATGAACCTGAGTCTCCTTCAGCTACATTTGATTTGTGGTTTTGGGTTTGAGGAGGAACTTGAAGCCTCCCTGCTGGATGGGGCAGCAGCTGAGATTCAGATTCTGTTTGATGTTTTCTGGCATTTTCCCTCCTGTTTTCAGGCCTCAGCTGGTGACCTAAAGCCGACCATATGTGTGGCCGAAGCTCCAGAGATCCATTCAGCTGAAAGGTCATTGTCTGATGCCTTGCCTTTTCAGAATTATGTTTTGTATAGTGGTATTAACTTATATTTTCAGATCTTCCAAGGTGCCAATTATGGAACTCTCTGTGCATTGCTGCCCAAATCAAATTCTGGAAGTGGTCATTCAACTAGATCTGTTACAAAAGGACAACTGACATTACCAACTTTTAAAAACTGTTAGGGCCAGAGGTCTTTCTTCTATGTTTATACTAAAGCATGGAATGACATTCCTCAAAACATNGTGTGAGAATGAACAACCAATCATAACCTGCCCCATCCTGATACACGGAAATAGGTCAACTTGATGCTGACGTCCGGAAGGATATCACAAGATATGAACAGTGGACAGTGTCAAGGTGATACAGATATAAGTATTCCACAACAGTGTATATGTATATATTTATATATATATATGTTTATGTGTGTGTATGTATGCGTATGTATATGTGTGTACGTGTATATATTTATTTACATATATGCAAGCTAAATATTTAAGTTGGAAGCTAAATATTTAAGTTACTGTAGAAGCTAAATATTTAAGTTGCAAGCTACAGTAAATATTAAGTTGCAACCTAAATATTTAAGTTGCAACCTAAATATTTAAGTTGCAACCTAAATATTTAGGTTGCTAGCTAAATATTTAAGTTAAATATTTAGATAACTAGCTAAATATTTAAGTTGCAAGCTAAATATTTAAATTAAATATTTAGATAGCTAGCTAAATATGAAGTTGCTAGCTAAATATTTAAGTTGCAACCTAAATATTTAGGTTGCTAGCTAAATATTTAAGTTAAATATTTAGATAATTAGCTAAATATTTAAGTTAAATATTTAGATAACTAGCTGAATATTTAAGTTGCATGCTAAACATTTAGCTCAAAACTAAATATTTAAGTCAGAAGTTAAATATTTAGCTTGTTAACTAAATATTTAATTTGTAAGTTAAATATTTAGTTTAAAAACTATGCCATTTATAAATGTATGAATCCTATGGTGAAAAACTGACTTTGAAAAATAAATAGGTTCTTTTTTTCTTATAAAAGGCTAAATAAAACAAAATATTGGTGGTAATTTTTGACTGTGTAACTTTACAAACGGCACCCAGTGAGTTTAATAATTCTGTTGAATGAAGTTGTGACTCAGAGAAACTGAGCTGTCTGAAGGTTTCTGAAAACTTCCTTCTGAAACTTGTCTGCAGCTCAGTTTCTTTTAGTTTCACAGGATCAATCTTCTGCAGGATGATTTGTTTTATTTGCTAACCTTTAACTGAGTCTGGACTTGTTGTCTTGGATCTCTTCCTGAGCTCTGAATGTTTTCAGGATGTTTGTTCCAAAGACATTCTGATGGTTCTGACTCATTTGGGTCGCAGATAATCCAGCAGGATTCATCCAGGATTCCTTCACTGACAGCAGAATTGTTACTGCAGGTTCTGAGGCCCAGTCTGAGAGTGTGGCTCCTTTGTTTCTGTAATAAAACATTTTCATTTCATAAAGTTCAGACCGAAGATTTGATTTCCAGTAAAAAAATTCTTCTGGATCTCAGAATCAGCAGGTCTCAGAGCTGAACCCAAACCACACCCTTTAATCTAAATTCTGTGGCCTTAAAATAACTTTCTCCACTTTAGAGAGAAACCTAAGCTGTCTTAGGGTTTGGTTCTGATTCTTTGGGTTTGGGTCTGATTCTTTGGCCCAGTTCTGACTCTTTGGGATGGTTCTGATTCTTTGGGAATGAGTGGAACTGCTCTGCACTGGTTTAAATCTATAGGTTCTTCTGTGTATCAATTGGTAACAGTTATTCTGAAGTGGTAAAACTTACTTGTGGCGTTCCACAAGGTTAGGTTCTTGGCCCACTGCTATTTTCTGTTTACATGTTACCTCTGGGTCAAATCATTCGCAAATATAATGTCTCTTTCCCCTTTTATGCAGATGATACTGTGGTGACACCATTTACAATAGATTAAAACAGCCAAAACTAGTTATCATGAGGTATGATTACTGGACAGTGTCAAGGTAGAACAGATATACATAATTTATCCATAATACCCAAATATACAGTATTTATCCATTGATCCTTCTGATCTGTCTGCTCTAAACATAAGTTCTTGTCTTACTGATATTAAGGTCTGGATGTCCGATTA